AAGGGAGGGTACCAAGAAGATGAAGGCAGGCTCTGCTTGGTGGTGCCAAGCAATAGGACAAGAGGCAACAGTCAGAAACTGATGCACAGAATGTTCCACTTGAATATGAGGAAGAACTTCTTTCCTGTGCAGGTGACCGTGCACTGGAATAGATTGCCCAGAGAGGTTGTGGAGTCTCCCTCACTGGAGATATTCAAGAACCATCTGGACACAATCCTGTGCAATGTGCTCTAGGATAACCCTGCTTGAGCAGGGAGGTTGGACCAGATGACCCACTGTGGTCCCTTCCAACCTGAACCATTCTGTGATTCCAGGAAACACATTTTAGTTTTATTTTGCTTCATGGTCTTAATAATTTGCACTAGGGTATCATATTTTCTATTATTTACTACTTAAACAGCATCAGTTTCTAAACAGCAAGGTCTTCTTTTCTGAATATGAGGAGTAACTTTCCCTCAAGAAGTCAGTAAAATAAGTCCAGTGTAAAAGAAAACACAATCAGGCCCAAGTGGACAATCAAACAAGGGAAATGCAAATTAAACACCCTCCAGGAAAACATCTCTTTTAATTAACTGCACTCTTTTTGCCATTATAAAAAAGGTAACTTAGAAAGAAAAAATTAAAGTCGCAATGGTTTTTTACATTATCAGAGTGTCAGCAGGATGGGAGAGGTTAAACAAGTTCCTAAAGTTAATTTTTCTTCTGGCTGTCTCACTAAGGAGACCACACTCAGATCAAGTAAATTGTATTTATGGTTATTAAACCTTCCTGTTTTAAAAAAAAATAAGTTGATACAGCTAAGAGGAATAAGTTTTTTTTTTTTTAATTCTGAATTCCATTTCACCTATTTCTAGTAAGACTCTGCAATACACAACGGGTCAAAATTATTACAAGTCAACATCACTGGATGAACAAGGATGAACATCTGGTATTCATTTAGAATACTATAAATAGAAAAATAAATAGCATAGATCATGCAAAACAGAAGCTAAACATTTTCCTGTTCTCCTTCTTGATGAATGGGCAGATAAATTAAGTGGTTATTATAAGATACTATGCATTTTTAGTACACAGAAATCACAGAAACATTTAGGTTGAAAGGGACCTCATGAGATCATCTAGTCCAATCTCCATGCTCAAACAGGGTCAGCTAGAGCAGGTTGTCCAGGAATGTGTCCAGTTAGGTTTTTAATATTTACAAGGAGATTCTAAATCATACTCCATATCACTGAGCTTTCTATTGTTAGGCAGCATCTCAGAATTCTGCTCCCTCAGTAAAGCATCAACAGTATAAACTCATAGTTTCCACCAGTAATAGCAGAAGTTGTGGGTTTTTTTAATCTTTCTAAACTCTGACAGGAGACTACACTCTACTGTAGAAATGTCACTTAGCCATTAAGGAGTTTTACTAGCTTCTTCAGGTTTTCCCAGATAGAGTTACTAAAAATCACAATGAGGGAAAGACTTCCTACATAGTACAAAACTGGAGTGATTAGTGAAATAAAGAGAAGTAAAGATAAATAGAAGATAAATACGGAACATTAAGAAAATATATACAACTGTAGGGTAGACACATGGGGTAGACAAAGAATAATAAACTGCTCAGTAAAATTCTGCACTTGAGTTCCTACTGAACTCCAAAAAGATCAGTTAGGACCATATATAGCCACATCATCAACTTTGGAGAGAAAAACCACTGTGCAAAGGCTGGAAGACTGAATTTAATTCTGTACACAGAAGAAAATGCCTGAGAAGTAACAGTACTGCTAGGTCTATAACCAAAACAGTATTTAAACCAATCAGAATATTCTTAAATAGCTAGCTGTGGGGCAGAAAACTTTACAAGCACAGTTTTACCTGACTGCTCAGGTTGAAGTGCATAATTCACTGTTATGTTAACAAGACTCATGCATAAAAATCCATGAGTATCAAGATGAGAACATTAAACACCAAAAAGAAAACAGTTGCAGACTCAGTAAAATTAGCATCCCACTGGACACAACTTCAACAGGTCATAGGGAGATCATCTTTGAAGCAGAAATCCTAATGAAATATAAACATGGCATTGTGGAAACCCCACAAATTTACCATAGTTCTGTTCAGCCACCACTAATCTAGGCATTTGATATGGAGCATAATCTAAACAAAGGAATCAGTCAGTTCATACACCTGGAAGCTGTAATATTTTGGAGCCTCCTAACAGTTATCCATAACTGAAATATTCGCTTGCATGTAATATCCTTTAAATTCGTTGATCAGTCAAGAACTGTTACATGCATGCACTGTGCATATTACTACCTTTCTGAGGAACCACCACAAATATTATTTAGTAACAATTGTTGGACCATCTCTTTCCACAGAAAAAAAAAATCATTAAAATACATGGAATGTAGGAGTTTTCCTCATTGCATTCTCTGTTGAAAGTAAGTTTGAGTGTCCATGGAGTTCACTGTTGTCTGAACTCAGTCTACTGAGGAATAATGAGAAAGGAAGGCCCATTCTCTACAGAAAAGACCACTTAACCATAGAAACTAGTAGACCTCAAACCACTCATCAATATCTCAACATGGCACAACTCCAGCAGCAGCCTGCCCTACTGCTTACCTACATTCCCCCTGTTCCTGCACAACATCAGTGGCACAAGGAACAAGAAAGTAAAGTGGCTTTCAACTGTTCTACACACTGAGGGAACAGCATCAAGCTGTGTCAGGGGAGGTTTAGATTGGATATTAGGAAAAGATTCTTCACTGAGAGGGTGGTCAGGCACTGGAACAGGCTCCCCAGAGAAGTGGTCACAGTACCATGCCTGCCAGAGTTTAAGTGTTTGGACAACACTCTCAGGCACATGGTGTGATTTTTGGAGATGTCCTGTGCAGGGCCAGGAGGTATACTCAATGATCCTTGTAGGTCCCTTCCAACTCAGGATATTCTATGATTCTATAGTGACCTCTGTAGGAGATCATGGACTGTCCTGTGTTGTATGCAGCAAGTTCCAACTGCAGGTCAATGGAGGTAACCCTTCCCCTTTATTCAGCACTGGTGAGGCCACACCTAGAGTACTGTGTCGAGTTCTGGGCTCTCCAGTACAAGAGACATGGACATACTGAAGAGAGTTTAGCAAAGGGCCACGAAGATGGGATTGACTGAAACATCTCACATATGAGGAAAGGCTGAAAGAGATGGGACTGTTCAGAGGGGGATCTCATCAATGTATACAAATACCTGAAGAGAGGGTGCAAAGAACAGAGCCAGGTTCTTTTCAGTGGTGCCCAGAGACAGGACTAGAGGCAATGGGCACAAAGTGAAACATGGGAGGTTCTATCTGAACATAAGAAAACCCTTTTTCACTGTGAGGGTGACAGCACTGGAATGGGTTGCCCAGTTTGGGGAATCTCCCTTCTTGGAGATATTCAAAAGTCATCTGGATATCATCATGGGCAACTAGCTCTAGGTGGTCCTGCTTGAGCAGGGGGGGTTGGAACATATGACCTGCAGAGATCCCTTCCAACCTCAACAATTCTTTGATTTTTCTTTGAGAATTGCATTTTTACTTCTGGGCCAGTCACATAGGTATTGTCAGCAAGCAGTTTCTTTTATTAAACTGTCAGGAGAAGCAGGTGGCATAAGATAGGACTACCCTTCCTAGTAAATGAACCCCAATAATATCAGGATAATAAACCTCAGGGACAAGTGCTAGATGGGACTGCAATCAAACATTATTTACCAAACACTTATAAAAAAGTAGAGACAAATAAGTAAGAGCAAAAATTGACAAAAGAAACTGCCACAAGAATCTCACAAGGAATTAAGAAAAAAATGTTGAGGAAAAAAGAATGTTCACAACTGTTTACATTAGTAATTAAGGTGCACAGCACCTAATGACCAGAACAGATTCTGAATGTACATCTCTGCCTATGGGTGGGATCCTCAACACACACACACAGAGGTATTTACTAACAATTATGAAGTTTTATGTATTAACTCTTATAAGCAAAATTCTGCTGCAAGCTACTTTGACATAAATCCAGAGTCACTACCACTGTTGACAAAATCAGTCTGGTTTTATATCAACACAGCTTAAGAGGGAATCTGATGCTAAATAAATAATATTTTCTCCCTGAAAACAAAAAGTGACAACCTGGAGTCATGCCTCTCAGACTAGAGCAACCCTGAGCAGACCCCTGGACAGGAGGGCAGTGATGCTGACTGCCTCCAGGCCCTCAAGGGAAGCCACTCCTCCACATTCCCTGGCCTGCATGCTGGGGTAGGGCTATTTCTAAAGGAACCACACAAAACTCCAGCCTCCGAATACAATTTCTTCTCCTTAACCAAAGCAATCTTCCTATACTGGGGCTTACCAACACAAAGGCAACATGGGTGAACTTCTTGGCTGGTTTTGGAAAACATCTTCCACTCTGGCCTAGGGCAGTGCCCACAGCTACCTCACACCTGGCTGCCCAGCCACAGCCTCTGGGCCAGCCAGGCCAGACTTCACTTCAGCAGTCTTTTTTTTTTTTTTTTTTCTTTTTGAACCTTGAGACAAACATTTCTCCCCTACAACTGAAAGCTGTCCAAAAAAACAGGACCACACACACAGGCACCCGTGTCTCTAGGCTGTGCTCCTCATGGCATGCCACTGTCCTGCAGCCTTCAGAGTGGTGAAGTGGTATCTGTCGCCCAGAGCCACGTGCCCTGCTGTCCACCCCTTCCCAACCTATATGCACTCTCTCATGTTCATCAGCCTCACAGAGCCCCGCAAAACACCACAGCATTGGGCATAGACAGTGCTCTGTAGGCTTCCCCTCCACCAGCCCAGTACCCAGTCAGCAAACACTCCTCAGCATGAAGAAGGCCTATTATATACATATGTATACACACACACGCATACATGCACACATTCTTAAAGTCTCTGACACTCAAGCTCTTTTAATCCAGCTCCTGAGGTGAAAGGGGCAATGTGGGGAGGGATGGCATCAGAAAAAAGGGGATCTCGAACTTACCTTCCACCCACAGCTCCTCCACATTGGTTTCAAGATTTGCTGCCCTTAATCCTACAGCAAAAACCCCAAATATGAGAAGGCCAACAACCAAAAACTTTCCACAGTTTTTTTGAATGTAACAGCCCAGTTTAAATAACAGTCTCTGAAACTTTGCTCTCAGCCACAGTGGTGCTTTTCTTCCAGTAGCTTTCCCCTACAAGGCAAGGAAAGGTTAGTAGTTAAGAGGCTGAGGCAGGCACTAACACAGGCCAGGCACATTTATTACAAGAGAACATATGGGGAAAACCCCCTCCAACCACTAACAGATGCAGAACAGTTATTTATACATAAATGCTCATATCCTCACAATGTCCCTTGGAGTAAGGACAATAATGTTGTCCTTCATGAAGGGCCCTCACCCTATGGCTCAGTTGAGCAGCTTGCAATCACCACTAAGTATTCCTGTAGGCCAAGATGTGTACCTGCTGGTAACCATCCTATTGCTAAACCACCACACAGGTTTGGGATTCCATCACTGTTGAAAACCTGTATAAATGAGACAGTGTGTGTGTCTATCACTATCTTGCACCCAAGTCACCACTACCAGTTTAGGTTGCAACACATTCATGCTGGCAAGATTCATGGCTCTAGGGGAGAAATAACCTATGTTAATGAATCTCAACAGGCCTGTCAATAAAAAAGTACCCTTTCCCATTCTCATTAGACCTCTAAAGGGCTGATGGTGGGGAGGGATGTCAACAGTGAAGGTAAACTACTTTGTAGGAATTTGTTGGCATTTCTCCTATTCCCAGCCCTTAGCACAACTTTGTAGTAAATGCATTATCCACGTGGTGAGCGGTGCTGTACGATCATAAGAAATTAATTTCCATAGTCTGGAGACAGTGTGATCTTAGTTAGGAAACAGAGCAGCCATCTGTAAATTTCAACAATATTTGTGAATGGAAGAGGGCAGCCACATAGATTTTTTTTTTGCCTTTCCCCTTTTTACAAAGCCCAGAAATGCTCTTTGCAGAAAGGCATCGTCTCTCAAGGTTGTTTATTTTGAACATTTTTTGGTTCGCATACGTTAGCGGTTGGGACCGTTTCCCTTCCACTCCCCAAGTAGGGCTTCCAGTGCACTCCTGCACCTCCGGCGTTTCCACGCTAACAATAAAGCCAGTGAGCCGGGAGGACTCAGTACAACCTGCACAGAAGATTTAACGTAGCAATTTATTTATAACTTTCACTTTTCCTCCAAACCTTGGGGGAAACATTACAAACGTTTTCTGCTATGACAACCCCTCTTTGAGGATTGTCCTGTTTTCAGCACTCAGTAGAGAACTTCGCAAAAGCACAACTTTTTGCCAAGAAAGCAGCCGCTCATTTTCTCCCCTTTTCCGGTTAGAGACCGGTGTTAATGAAGTTGCAGAGTGCTACGAAGTAATAGAGAGAAGCAAAGGAAGCGGAAAGGGGAGAGGAAAAGCGAGAATGGGCCACAAACTATCCGGGAGGCCGGAAGGCAGGTGAAACTACCTATGGGAAATTTAACTAGATGAATGCTCCCCCGCACAAACACACACCAGTCAAAGCATATGGAAGAAGGAAGGGAAGGAGAGCACTCTCTCTCGCACTGAAGAGTCACAGACGTCTCTCTCTTTTCCCCAGCATTTTATTGGTCGCTGTTTCATTTCCATCTCTTCCTTGCACCCCCCACGAGAAAACACCTCCCCCATAATAATAGTACTAGCGCGTATCTACATTTCTAAACAATGCCTGAGAAATTGAATGCACCTTTGATATCTGCTCCAAGGCGAAAGCTGCATCACAGTAGCTTGGTCGCTGCAGATACTCCCGGTCGGGTGCCGCGGCGCGCTGGTTCGCTCCAGTCCTTCGCCGCCGCCTCCCGCTATCGCTACTCGCCGCCTGGCTGGGGTCACTGCTGCTCGTCTCCGGCTCCAATACGTTAACGGCTGAGGCCATGTTGCTACCGCTGCCAGAGGGGCCCGCGGGGAGCTGGAGGCGCTGCAGACCGCGGGATGCTGCTGCCACCACCGTCGCTGTGCGGCTACTTCACGCGGGGCTTTGGACGGTGGCTGCCACCGCGGCCGCTCCTGACGAGTCTCACCCTGTACCTCCCATTGCCACATCGCGTGCGATCCCCAAAGTGCTGGCGGCTACTCCCCGCACCCAGGGAGAGTGGGTGGGCAGACACGACTCCCCTCCCCCGCCCCAGCTGCCGCCGCGCTTGCCTCCGCTCCCGTTAAAACCGCTTCTTCCGGCCGTTGCTGCCTCCAGGAAGCTGCTAGCGGCAGCGGCACAGCAGCAATACGGCGGGTTATGGGTGCTGTTGACCTGTCTCGCCGCGATGCACCATACTGCCTCAGCGCCAGGGCGCTACCCGCCAGCCGCGGGGCCGGCGAGACTCTCTGCTCCGCAGCGCGGGGCGGGCTGCTGACTGGCGCTCTTCCTCGGCGTATGTGCGGCAGGATCAAGCTGGAGCCCCCAGCTTAAAAGACGAGGTGAAGAAGAAAAAAAGTACTCTCCATTTGGATAAAAAGGACGAGGGGTGGAAGGGGGGGAGAGAGAAAGAGAGAGGGAGGGGAAAAAAAGAGCTGAAAGAACGCCCCCGGGGCTGTCCGATAGCTTGGGTTTCTACGGGATGGATTGGCTGGAGGAGGGTAGAAATTAGTCAGCAAACATGTCTATTATTAGCTGATTAGCAACAGCTCACCAAAGTAGAAAGACCACCCAGACAGGCAACCCTTGTGTGTGCATCGCCAGTTTCAGGGGGAGCCTTAAAGAGATACAGCCTTCTTTGTATGCAATGCTTCCATTAAGGAATGCCTCCCTTCCTTTCTTCGTTTTCTTTTCAAGATTTTTTTTTTTTTTTTGCTTCAGGATGCTTTTAGACAACCACATGTGCAGAACTTTCTCGCAATCCATAAATATTTTTCTTCTTTTAAGAAAGAGAGGGGAGCTTGGTTTTTCTCATATCCCACCCTCCTTAGCAAACACTTCTGTCTCGTTAAACTAAGACACTCTCTAACACTATTTTTTTAGTATTAGGGAGTAGGAATTACTTTATTCTGGCCAGGGTGCATAGCAGATAACTCCAGCCACATGCACACCACTTTGAAACTTTTCTCTTATTTATACATTTTTAACAAACAAAGAAATTAATGTTCATTGGTTCTAAGTTACATAATTCTCTTAAATAATTAGTATTCTATCTTTTACTGGTTATTTATTTCTCCCTTCTCATGCTATTTAGTCCACATTTTTCAGTCTTTTTATCATCATTTTCCCAGACAGGGAGTATCCAGCACATTTTGGATTGTCTTTGTTAGTCTCTTCTTTATCTTCTGGTATAGTTGGTTGACCTTGGCTGGACACCAAGTGCCCACCAAGCTGCTCTGTCACTCCCCTTCCCAGCTGGACAGAGGAGAGAGAATAAGATGGAAAACAATTTGTGGGTTGAGATAAAGCAGTTTACTAAAGCAAAAGCAGAAGCTTGCGCATGCAAAAGCAAAGTGGAAAAAAACTATTTATTCTCTACTTCCCATCAGCAGCGATGTCTGGTCACGTCCTGAGAAGCAGGGCTTCATCACACATAATGGTTTCTTAGAAGGCAGCCATTGGAAATAATTAATGTCCCCACTTCCTTCTCCTTTCCTTAGCTTTTATATCTGAGCTGATGTCATATGGTATGAAATACCCCTTTGATTAGTTTGGGTCAGCTGGCCTACTTGGGTCCCCTCCCAGGATCTTGCCCTCGATTGAGGAAGGAATGTTACAGTACTGATGCTGTGCTCAGCAGTAGCCAAAACACACCGTTCTCAACACCTTTCTAGCTACCAATGCAAAGCACAGCACTGTGAAGGCTACTATGGGAAATGAACTCCATCTCAGCCAGACCCAATACATCTGGTTACTCCAACATGTCCTCAGAGGGCTATAAATTCTAGAGTCCAGGTGTCCAGCCTTTAACTCCCTCAGGTTTTGTTCATTGAAGCTTATCAGGGTTAGTTTAGCAGAACTTTAAGTTTTGGTGATCTAATAATCGAACTAACAATAACAGTCTGTGAAAAGAAACTTAGATATGTGCTGGCTAAAGTGGAAAAATTACACTGTTTAAGACTAATACACTACTTATGATTAATTAAAACAACTACTTGAAAAGTTAATTAAAACCATTATTTAGAAAAAAATTGATTAGGAAAGTTATATAATTTCCAACAGCACTGTGGTCCCTTCCAACCTGATCCATTCTGTGATTCTATGTTTACATTTTTTGGCACTGCTCCTTCCCATCTCTGTTCATTGAGAATCATCCATTAATTGTTGCTGTACAGCTAGCTTGGCTTGCCATGTGGAGGAGTCGCAGGAAGCGGGGACAGCACAGAGGATGCTCCATTCTGTGGCCCGTAGTGCCCAGCTCTGGCCCAGGCAGATATCCCACCGCACTTGCTCGGAGGACAGAAAAATTTGCCCGCCACCGCTCCATGCCTGGCCTGGGGAGGCTCTTTGGGAGTTGCCTCCGAGCAGGGGAATTGCTGCATGGCAGCAAAGGAATGTGGCTTTAAGGTGTGCCTGGTGTGTCTTCATTTAAAAAAAAAAAAAAAAAGGTAAAAAGTCAAAGGGGGTACAGGATGAGATGAGATCAGACCCAATGTGTGAGCAAGAGCCTGGGACAACCTCGCTGGACAGCACTAAGGGGCACTGCCCCCTCTCTTTCCACTCTGCAGTCAGCATTGAGGAGCTGCCGGGGTAGCTGCAGCACTGTAGTGGGTTGACCCTGTCTGGCTTTCAAATACGCACCAAAAGCTGCTACATCACCCCCCCTCCCCCCACAACTCGACAGAGGAGAGAGAAAAAAACAGCTAAAGAATTCCTGAGTAGAGATAAGAACTGGGAGACTCATTTACTAACAAACAAAACAGACTCAAAATGGGGATAGTACTTAAATTTATTGCTAACAAGATAAAAACTAAAGAGTGAGAAATAAAACAGTCATAAAACACCTTCCCCCCACCCCTCCTTCCTTGCATGTTCTCTCTCCTCCCCCTCCAGCAGTGCAGGGGGACAGAGAATGGGGGTTTTACAGTCAGTTATTGTTTCCCATGGGGTGCAGTCAAGTTTTTGCACTCCGATGGTCCTCCATGATCTGCAAGGGGACACTTGCTTCACCATGGTTTTCACCATGGGATACAGGGGGGTCACAACTCTGAGTCTTTCCCCTGTTCCCATGGAGGTCCCTCCCATGGGAGACAGTCCTTGATGGACCTCTACAATGTGAATCCATCCCTTGGGCAGCAGTTCTTCCCAGTCTGCTGTCCTATGGGTCACTTCTCCATGGGGGTGCAGTCCTTCACGGATAAACTGTATCAGCATGGGTCCCCCACAGGGCCATGAATCCTACCCAGGAAAAACTTGCTCCAGTGTGGGTTTCTCTCTCCATGGGCCACAGGTCTCCTGCAGGACTATGCTCCATCTTGGGCCTCCCACAGGGGGTCACAGCCTCCTTTATGCATCCACCTGCTCCAACATGGGCTCTTCCATAGGCTGAAGGGGGAGTCTTTGCACTCCAATGGTCTTCCAGAGGCGGCAGGGGTCTCAGCTCTCAGTCTTTCCCCTGCTGGAGGGAGAGAGTGGGGCCCCTGGGCCCCTCCTTCCCTTCCTGCTGCACTGACCTTGGAGTCTGCTTGTTATCCCATGTTCTCCTCTGCTCTTCCCAGGTTGGAATTTTTCTCTGCACAACAGCTCTTTGTGCCTAAATATGTTATCACAGAAGCATTATATTATCACTTCTAATTGGCTTAGCCTTAGCCTGCAGCACGAAGTCCATCCTGGAACTGTCAATCATTGGCTCCTCATAGGATGGGGGAAGCTTCTAGCAGCTTCTAACTGAAGCCACCCCTATGGCCCCCCCACTACCAAAAACCCAGCCTCATACACCCACGACAAGCACATGCTCAGAGGAGGTCTTTCCTGGTACTCTTTCTTCCTGTGCCATGCCAGGACCGCAAAGGCTGCAGGCACCAATGCACCTTTCCATTCAATCTGTCAAACACCTGGGGCTGAGGCCATAGACAAAGCCCCCTATTGCTGGGCCACTGCCAACACAATCCTCTCTTGGGGGGCCTGTTTTGCAGAGGTGCACTGGCAGCGAGACTCCCCCAGCAGGGTTGCAAGCCACAAAGCCCCAGCACTAAGAGCAGCCTATGCACCTCACCACCAGTGCAGATTGTATTTTTGTGAAATTACCAAGTGGCACCCATTAACAGGAGTTTTCCAGGTTCACTGTCACCAGTGGAGAATTCTCTTTCCTCTCCCTTCCCCCACTTTTTCCCACACTTCCCTGTAGTGTATTGATTGCAAGGGAAATCTGCATCTTTGAAGGCCAGACCTTGTGCTCCTTACTGAGCTGTCTCCAGGAAAACTGCTGGGAGCAGCACACAGATGTACATACACAAATGATAGAAAGAAACCTAAAGGGAGCAAGAGGCTGGTCAGTTGGAGGATGAAATACAGAGCTAAGATGCAGTCAAACACATCTTATTTAAGTTTCAGCTTGGGAAAATAACTGTGCTTCTCATTAGGAACCAATGTGTCATTGCTTCTGCTTCCATTCAACCTGATCAGGTCTGATGGGATGGCAGGGCTGAGAGATGGGGAATGGACTGCTGGACAGACATTGTGGCTCAGTGTAATGGGGTGAGGATGCCGAGACTGAAAACCAAGACACTGCTGAAAGCTCAACAATAAATCCAATATTTATTACAGAAAGTGGCCAAGTAAATGGGAACACAAGAGACAGGAAAGGAGAGGAGTAAACCAAGCCCTCAGTGAAACCCTGACTCACGCAGGTGTATTTTACGAGGTTGTCTTACTGACCCCAGGATAACCAGAATTCCCCATAGCAGAGGCTTCATCCTAGGAGGGTCAGCAGGCTCACAAAGATAGCAGGCGTCCCCGCAAAAGGCAATGTTGTCCTTCATGTGAAGCTTGAGAGCCCCGAGCACGAGCCACCTGCATTTTTATCCAATTAGCCAGTAACGTCTACCAGGGCTGGTGTGGCCAGCACCACCCAACCAGAGGCCTTCGGTCCCTCCCCCCGTTATGTAAGCGTACCCCTTCAGTGCATGTGTGAGAACTTTGGGATTCCCCTTGCACTTGCGCTGTTTCACTCAAGGGATCTTATCTATTTGGGTCTGGGGGCTTTACTTCATCCTCTCCTCTTCAGTTTCTCCTTCAAATGTCCTCTACAGACAATGAGCCAATCACAGAACACCAATTAAAACAGTTTATACAAGTGATACCTCCTCTTCTCCAGACTAAATAACCCCAGCTCCCTCAGCCTCTCCTCATAGGACTTGTGCTCAAGTCCCTTCACCAGCCTCGTTGCTCTTCTCTAAACCTGCTCCAGCACCTGAATGTCTTTCCTGAACTGAGGAGCCCAGAACTGAACACAATACTCCAGGTGTGGCCTCACCAGTGCTGAGTATAGGGGAAGGATCACTTCCCTGCTCCTGCTGGTCACACTTCTTGATGCAGGTCAGGATGCCATTGGCCTTCTTGGCCACCTGGGCACACTGCTGGCTCATGTTTACCTTCCTGTCAATCAGAACCCCGAGATCCCTTTCCACCTGGTTGCTCTCCAGCCACTCTGTCCCCAGTCTGTAGTGCTGCAGGGGGTTGTTGTGACCAAAGTGCAGGACCCAGCACTTGGCCTTGTTGAACCTCATCCCGTTGGAATCAGCCCAACTCTCCAGCCTATCCAGGTCCCTCTGCAGAGCCCTCCTGCCTTCCTGTAGGTCAACACTCCCTCCCAACTTGGTGTTGTCTGCAAATTTGCTAATGATGGACTCAATCCCCTCATCTAAATCATCAATAAAGATGTTAAACAGGACTGGGCCCAGCACTGATCCCTGGGGGACACCACTAGTGACCAGCTGGATGCAGCCCCGTTCACCAGCAGTCTCTGGGCCCAGCCATCCAGCCAGTTCTTAACCCAGCACAGAGTGCCCCTGTTCAAGCCGTGGGTTGCCAGTTTTCTCTGGAGTATATTATGGGAGACAGTGTCAAAGGCTTTGCTGAAGTCCAGATAGACCACATCTACAGCCTTCCCCTCATCCACCAGGCGGGTCACCTGATCATAAAAGAAGATCAGGTTGGTCAGACAGGACCTGTCTCTCCTAAACCTGTGCTGGCTGGGTCTGATCCCTTGTCTATCCTGTAGGTGCTGTGTGATTGCGCTCAGGATGATCTGCTCCATAACCTTGCCATGCCCTGAGGTCAGGCTGACAGGCCTGTAGTTTCCCGGGTCCTCCTTGCAGCCCTTTTTGTGGATTGGCATGACATTTGCCAACTTCCAATCATCTGGGACCTCCGCAGTGAGCCAGGACTGTTGGAAGATGATGGAGAGCGGCTTGGCAAGCTCTTCTGCCAGCTAGCTCCCTCATCACCCTAGGATGGATCCCATCTGGTCCCGTGGACTTGTGAGGATCTAGGTGGCTCAGTAAGTCACTGACTATTTCCTCCTGGAATACAGGGGGGCTGTTTGGCTTCCTGTCCCTGTCTACTGGCTCCGGAGGACAGTTTCATGAGCTTTCTCTCTAGTTTTAGTCTTGTTATGTTTTTTTTTTTCCCTCTTTTCCTTCTTTACAAACATGGTATCCATCTGTATCTGTGACTATTCTAGGGGGACCTTCAAGAGCATAATGAAGGGACATTTTTTAAGCCCCTTCAGTTTACAAAATTGCCATATGGTTAAGAACAACCATGTAGAAAACTGAGAGGGTGACTCTGGGTGCAAGTTGGTGGGAGACAATTTCTCAGCACTGTGTTTGTAATCTGGAGTTGGCAGTGAATACAGCAAGATCATCATCTTGCACCGGAGTCTCTAAGCTGCATAGAGGTCAAAGTCTATAGGCTAACTGCCCCTGCTCTAGATAGTGCAATATGACACCTTTGTAGATATTCTTACATAACTCAGTTTTAACCTAACTTTTCCCTTTCAACTAAATACTTCCCTTTTTTATTGTACATCTGAAACAAATATTTCCAAAAAGCTTTCTTCTATAAGTACATAACTTCAACAGCATGCTTTGGTAACAGCAAAAGAAAATGGAATTTACAAGCATAAATAATATATGTATGTGAGTAGTACAGGGATAGGTTTTAGCCAAGATAAGAAATGACAAGTGATCCATCCTCAGCTTTACTTAAATAACCACCCTTGCAGACAGCCATTTGCTAACGGATGTCATGCCCCTCTTTCGGTCACGTGGTCTGTTGTGATTGGCTGGAAGCATCTGTTCCCCCACGGTCCGCAAGCGTGGGGGAAGGGGGTTTATTTTTATCCTTAGCGAGTGTAATAGACTGCGCCGTACTCAGAGCTTCATTGTCTCTCTTCGCTGTGTATCGGAGTTCTGCCGCACTGGACTGTAGGCAGGAGGTGGGAGTGGTGTCGGTTCGCTGAGTCGCCGAGGTTGTATTTCGGGCTCCGTGGCGGGCCCTGCCTGTGCCTGCTGGAGTGCGAGGAGGCCCTCCCCTGCCTGGAGAGGAGCCGCGGGAAGCCGGGCAGACTTTAGCGCACCGTGCGGCTGGCCAAGGCTCTGCGGAGGCTGGCGAGGGGCTGGCGGGAGAGGTGCTGTGCGATGGGACCGAAGGGTGGCGGGCGGGTGTTGCGAAGCGCTAGTAGGCAGTGTTGTGGAGTGGCGGCAGTGGGACGACCAATATTGTTCGTGAAGGTAGTGTGAAAGCTCTATCCCCCATAAGGCCTGCTGGAGTGGTGTGATTAAGTAACCCAGATGTGCTGCTCGGAGCGTGTGGGTGTGTGTGGGCGCGGCCTTAACTGCGGTTTTCCTGTCATGTCAGAGTGCTGAGTGCAGGGAGTGATGATCCGGTTAGTGCAGCGTTACGCTTCCGCTTGCGGAGGCGGTAGAGGGTGGGGTATGCTCGCGCTTGATGCTTCGGCGGGAGTCGATAATGCTGCTGACCGTTCTTAACGCAGCTGAGCTCTGTGGCAGGGCTGGCAGCTTCCGCCAGCTGCTCCCTGTCTCTAAAGTCCCTTCTCGAAGAGACCTCAGTCACTCCGGGGTCACGCCGTGAGACCAGGCAGCAGGGGGCAAGAGGTGCCTGAAATACGGCTATGTGGCCTTGCAGCACCCGGTGCTCTTATGTAGACAGGCTTTTCCCCTGCAGCACGGAGATCCTGATATATGTTTTCACTCTCCTTTTCTGAGTAGAGTTCCTATCTCTGTGCTGACTATTGTAGTGTCGTCAGCAAGACAGGAATGAGTTTGGTGAAGTCTTTTCCTGCCACAGTGGTAGGGTCTGCAGGCTTGTCTTGCCCTGTGTTTTCCCTCTCAGACTCACATTTTCTTCTCCTATAAATGCTTTACAATGTAATGAAAATAAGATATAGGCAATGAAGAGCAAAGCAGTTAAACTGTTCTGGCAAATTCAGGAGGAAATAAAGATATTAATTCTGATACCTTTGTGCAGAAATCTTGGGAATTTTTACATAAATCTTTAAGTCTGTAGTTAGATTGATCAAGTGTATCTTTTTGCACCAACTCTTGTTAACAGTCTAAACTGGTGGGAAAGCCAGAATTAACATGTATTAGCACCTGTATGTAACTGCTTAATTATTTGAAGTTGCAACTTACAACCAACAGCTGTTCCAATTATAACATTCTTAACTCTTGTGCAAGTGCTAAACCTGCTTATAACCTTACTATTCAGTCTAACAGTAACCAAGTGTATTAGTGTCCAGCTTTCAGCTTTCTATGGGTAATTTTATATTGCACTCTAGTAAAAGGTGGTGGTCTTTGGTGTGGTTTTTTTTTGGGGGGGGGGGGATGTTGTTGATTTGGGTTTTTTTGATGTTTTTGTTTTTTAGTGAAAGGTAAATGGAGAGTCAAAGCTCTGTTTAAATATTGGTTATATCATCCATGGTACAGATTGTGTTTGTGCAGTCTAATGTACATCAAAATATTACTTGACAGACTGAAGCTTGCTAAGTGGTTTTGGTTTATTGGCAGGTTTCTTTTGCATATTATGGTATTGGGGAGAGGTGGTGTGAACAGATAAAGTACTGATGTTTCAAGTTTTCTACAGATATATAGGAAAACAGTCTCAGGTCTTAATTTTTCTTATCTAGTTATTATTTATATGCAATTTTATGTAGAGTTTTTAATCTGACATAAGTGAGAGTGCATGTGTACCTATTGCACAGAAAATAGCAAATAATGTATATCAGTAGATATTTTCTGTGAATGCATCTTTGTTACTGTGTCTGTTTAGGGTGGTGCTGTACATAACTGTACATATGTGCTTGCATAGCTGTATGTAGAAATGAACTAATATCAGAAGACTGGAGTTGAAGCTTCCAGAAATGTATGGGACATTAAAAATACTTTTTTCAAATATATTAAGGGCAATAGGCAGTATAGAAATATCAGCTCGTTACAGGATGAGGATGGTCACCTCATAAACAGGGACAGAGACAAGGCAGAGGTGTTTAACGCTTTCTTTGCCTCTGTCTTCAGCACAGATGACAGACCAAGGTGGTCTCAGTGCCCTGAGCTGGAGGACCATGACTGCAAGAATGATCAACTCCCAGTTGACCCTGAAATTGTGCGAGATCTGCTCCAGCTGGATCCCTACAAATCTATGGGGCCTGATGAGATTAATCCAAGAATCCTCAAAGAGCTGCTGATGTCATTGCTAAACCTCTCTCAATGATTTTTGAGCAGTCTTGGGAATCTAGAGAGGTCCCAGCTGACTGGAAGCTGGGGAACGTTGTCCCAGTTTTCAAGAAGGGCAAGAAGGAGGACTGTGGAAACTACAGGCCTGTCAGTCTCACTTCAGTGCCTGGTAAAGTCATGGAGAAGATTATTCTGGGAAGTATTGAAAAACGCCTGAAAGACAATGCAGTCATCGGTAACAGCCAGCATGGCTTCATGAGGGGAAAGTCATGCTTATCAAACCTGATTTCCTTTTTTGACAAGGTAACCCACCTAGCTAAACAAGGGAAGTCAGTCGATGTAGTCTTTTTGGATTTCAGTAAAGCTTTCGATACTCTCTCACAGGATCCTTCTGGACAAACTGTCCAGCACACAGCTGAATAAACACATCGTGCAGTGGGTGAGCAATTGACTTGCGTGTTGGGCAGAGGGGGTAATAGTGACTGGGGTGACATCAGACTGGTGACCTGTCACTAGTGGAGTTCCGCAGGGCTCCATCTTAGATCCTGTTCTCTTCAACATCTTCATAAATTACTTTGATGCAGGACTGGAAGGGATACTAAGCAAGTTTGCAGATAATACAAAACTGGGAGGAACTGTTGACTCCCTTGAAGGCAGACAGACCCTGCAGAGAGACCTCGACAAATTAGAGGACTGGGCAATCACCAATCATATGAAGTTCAGTGAGGGAAAGTACCAGATTCTGCACCTGGGATGGGGCAACCCCAGATGTACAGACAGACTAGGGAATGAGATACTGGAAAGCAATGCCATGGAAAGGGACTTGGGGGTCCTGGTCAATGACAAGTTGTGTCCTGGGGTGCATCAGGCACAGCATTGCCTGTCAGTCAAGGGAGATGATTGTCGTACTCTACTCTGCACTGGTGCGGCCTCACCTTGAATATTGTGTGCAGTTTTGGTCACCGCAATATAAGAAAGATATTAAGCTATTAGAGAGCATCCACGGTGAAGGACCTTGAGGGGAAGCCATATGAGGAGCAGCTGAAGTCACTTGATCTGTTCAACCTGGAGAAGAGGAGACTGAGGGTCTACAACTCGTCGCAGTCTACAACTTCCTTTTGAGGGGAAGAGGAGGGGCAGACTCTTCTCTGTGGTGACCAGTGACAGGACCCAAGGGAATGGCCTGAAGTTGTGTCAGGGGAGGTTTCAGTTAGATATTAGAAAAAGGTTCTTCACCCAGAAGGTGGTTGGACACTGGAACAGGCTCCCCAGGGAAATGGTCACAGCACCAAGCCTGACAGAGTTCAAGAGGCATTTGGATGATACTCTCAGGCACATGATGTGACTCTTGGGGATGGTCCTGTGTGGGGCTAAGGGTTGGACTCGATGATCCTTATTGGTCCATTCCAACTCAGCATATTCTGTGACTGCAGTTAAGCAGATCTCAGTAGGAATGATAGAGAAGGTCTTTGATGGGAAAATTACTTGCTTCTACCAATAATAGGCTGCTTTCTGACTGTCATGGTTTTGCTCACCGGCCAACCCCTGGAGCTGAGGATGGTTTTGTCCAGGTGGATTTCTGGAGAAAAAGTCAATCAAAAAGTTCAGTAACGCCTTTGCTAATTACATATTTAAGAAAACAGAAGAGGAGGGTGGTTGCGCAGTTGAAATTGGTAGCCGTGTAGGAGCGGCAGCAGGCCCCAGGTGGGGGCCAGGTGTTGTCATGTGCGAGACCCAGTGGAAACTTCACACACACCAATATGATGTTTGGAAGCTCCATCTTTATTGGAAATTACACTTTTATACAATTCAATAACTACTACATATTTGACTACTTAACCTATTATTGGTCACACATACAAAACATACACTGTTCACATGATTATTATTGGCTAGCTAACATATCTTATTTTCTAAATTCTTTTCCTTCTAAATCTAACCACAACACTTCTATTCCCATGCCTCCTGGCAGGGTCCAACTCATCCTCCCATTGCAGGTGCTGTTTTTCTTCCTTCTTCCAGATGTCCAGTTCTCAAAACACTTGTCATGTTCTCAAAACACTTAGTCCTTGAAGCTCCTCAGATTCCCATCAGCTGGTCCACTCCTGCCTCAACCCAAAAGGTTCCTAATTCTCCTACATCTCCCCCTTTTTCTTTATTTATAACCCATACATTTTTTATCATTCTCGCAACCATTCCCTGTAAGCATTGCAAAACACATGGCACAAAAAGCAGTATGACTATGCCTATCATAACAGCTGTTTTCACTAAATCATTAAGCCATCCAGTTATTCCCCAGCCCTTAAGCCATTGATCAAATGCCGAAGTTATCACTGTTAGCTTTTTCATATTATCTCTTAATTGTTTAAGATGTGCATGGATGGATTCTGAGTGATCGGACAGATTCATGCAACACATTCCTTCTACATCTTCGCATCCGTGGCCTTGTGCTAACAACAGGAAATCTATTGCTGCACGATTCTGTAACACTGCATGTCGGATACTGTCTACATCAGTTGTTAATTCTGAGATGATTTTTGATGTGATATTTAGTTGTTTTGCTGTCCAGCATGCTAACTTTTTTACCAACTGCAATGCTTTAGCAGTACCTATGGGGGCTATCATTGTTGTGACTACATTTGTTGGCACATTCCAAAATTGAACATCATCTTTACACTTAGGCCCTAATTGGTATACTGATCTTTTCACTCTTTTTTTAATGTCCCGAATGGTATGGTTCAGCAACTGTCTCATGGTTGGTTTAAACATGGTGAGTTTTCCTAGATAACAAGGACCTCCTACAGGATTACTGGGTATTCCTGACCATGCTCTGTCTCCACATATTAAAAACATTCCTTTAGGCAATGCCAGACCAACGGTGTTGTTTCCCCACACATCACTGTATCGGCATTCAGGTGGACAATAGCCTGTGAGTCGAGTCCCTTTATAAAGCGCCAAATTGGGAGAAACAGTTTTCACTAAATGTAATTGAGTTGATTTATCCACGAATTTATCAGCTATTTTTTTGTTTCTTTTGAACATTACAGCACCAAATCTTGGCGCTAAGGATCCCAATAGATTCAATTCTTGAGGCTCTATGATTGTTTTATTCAGGGCCATTATGATTTGTCCTTGCCACCATGCAGTGTAGTTAATGCCAGGGTGACAGATTTGTGCATTATGATTAGCTTGGGTATCACTCCATGTTATCACTGTCTTATTGTTCACAAAGCCTTTAAACCATTCAGGTGCGAAAGTCGGTACTCCTATCAAACAAGTTCTAAAGGGGTCTCCAGGGGTGGCCATAGATAGACAGAACGAGTCCTGTCCTGTTTCCTTTGCAATGGTTACCCATATGTTACTTCTGGGTTTTATTTGAATCAATTGTGCCTGAATGAGACATATCCATGCCCCTATGACTGCCAGGGATAACCATATAGTCGTCTCCTTCTCCATAATGTCTTTTCACACTCCCACTGATGATCGTCTACTGTGTGATACCGAGGTACCACAATATGCTGTCCGCACTCAAGCTTTCCTACTTCGGCTTGCTGTAATAACTGTCGTCTAAGGGTTTCAGTGATTATGCTAAAGATATAGATTAACTGTAAGCGCACCTCTAAACTTTCAATTAAATCAACTAAATCATGTATTTCTCCTTGCCAGCCTAAAGCATCTCGGGCCCATCTACTAAGGGTCCAACATCTATATAAACTACTAAAACATACTAAGCATGTTAAATTAGAGCTTCCTTCTTGTTTTTTAACAACTTTCCACGTATGACGTCCGCAATTATGACAATCTACCCGTATCCATGGTCTACACGTATACCCGTGCTCTGGGCACAGTGGCATGGCTCTCCGATCTAGCTGTTGTGCTTCAAGAATACTGCGTATGCTATGCAGTCCTGAAGCTGAACTGAACAAAAATATTGGGAAAAGCTGTCACCGACTCAATGCGTTACACCATCTCGTTGTTAGCTGGTGTTGGCGTAGTATCCTCCTCCTCGCTGCTTCGGGGCACTCTTCTGTCATGCAGATATGGCTTAACCCAGCGAGCAGGAATCCACCGCGTCTCTCCTGAATCTGTTGAGACACAAGTATACCCCCTCCCCCAGGTTATTAGTTTATACCTATCATCCCACACATTATTAACAGGATTATAGACAGAGACAAAAGGATATATTCTTTCTTGTTCTTGCTTGATTAAATGTCTTTCAATTGCAGTGTTCATATCCATGCCTCTTGGGTTCAGCCAATTGAGAACATACAGCGATTTCCAAAGAATTTTATGTGGAGAGGGGAGTCCTCCCCCTTTTTCTTTATTTAAGGACAATTGGTCTTTAAGGGTTCTATGGGCCCGTTCAATGATGGCTTGACCAGTCGAATTATGGGGGACCCCAAACACATGAGTAACTCCCCAGTCTTGTAGGAATAATGCCACTTCTTTGCTTTTATAGGCAGGGCCATTATCTGTTTTGATCTGTTGTGGGACTCCCATCACTGCAAACGCTTCGGAGAGATGCTTAATCGTGTCTTTTGCTGAAGTTGATGAGTGTGCGGTAGCCCATAGCAAGAAAGAATGCGTATCAATAGATACATGCAAGTATTTAAGCTGACCAAAAGGTGCATATTCTGTGACATCAGTTTGCCAAAGTTGTAGTGGAGCAAGCCCTCGGGGGTTCACTCCTTGAGACTGTAAACTCGGTAGACGAGCACATTCTGGACATGCTGCAACTATTGTCTTTGCTTGTGCTAATGTCAGGTTGAAGTCCCGTTTCAAAGCCTGTGAATTCTGGTGGAAAAATTCATGTGACAACTGTGCCTGCTGGAAAAGGTTTGGCTTGACTATCGCTGGCATAGTGACCAACTGATCAGCACGTCTATTGCCCTCTACCAGAGGTCCAGGCAATTGAGTGTGGCTTCTGATGTGCGTCACAAAGTAAGGCTTCGTTCTTTCATCAAGAAGATGCCACAGGTGTAGAAACTGTTTGTACAAATCCTTATTGGTTATTTGCTTGAGTAATGCCCTGTGCATCCTGATAACCAGGCCTACAACATACTGTGAGTCGGATACCACATTGATTGGCTCGTGTAACCATTTCTCGGAGATTCGCACTACAGCAGCGAGTTCCATAACTTGTACTGATCCGGATGTGTAGACTGTTTCAGATTGCCACTGTCCATTTTCTTACCAGACAAAACCAGCTTTTCCAGTTTTACTACTGGCATCTGAAAAAACCGTCACTGCTTGCAAGGGGATATCACTTCGACAGGTCTGTGGTTCCATAACAACGTGAGTTTTAAACAGAGGATGAGGGGGATAGGTACTTTTCAGTTGAATGTTGTTAGCTAAAGCTGTCATAGCCAATTCATAGGATTCTTCAAGTGCCACTTTTATTTGTTCCTGTGTTAAGGGTAAAATGACATGATCCAGAGCAGTTCCTGCAATTTGACGAAGCCTCCGGTTAGCCTTCGTCACTATCAGTCCAAATGCTTCCACTCTCTTAGTGAGTGTTTTATGTGGTTGAGCTGGTAGATAAATCCATTCTAGTACCCAAAGTGGATCAGGAGTTCCCAGTACCCACTGATACAGAACTCCAGCCACTTCCCCTGGGGTGTTTAGTGCTGCCAATCCGATGGGTTCTGCTGGTGCATATCGACCAGAGTAAGAGGTCGCAATTTTCTCCTCTATGGTCTGTAAGGCTGCTTTGGTGTCTTGTGTCAACTGCGTTTGTCTGAAATATGTTCTGCTGTGCGCAACATTTCAAGAAAGGGTTGTAGATCTGAATTAAGTATTCCACACTGTCCTCGGACCCATTGGATGTCTCCGACCAATTTTTGAACATCATGTACATCTCTAATTTGTACGTGTAAACGCAGCCTTTGAGGACGTACTGCTGCTTCAGTGACTTGCCACCCAAGATACTTATATGGAGGTGTCAATTGTATCTTTTCTGGGGCTACCACAAGTCCATATTCTGCAAGTCAATTCACAATCAATTTAAGATCTCGTTCTTTATCCAGATTTTGTGCGCAGATTAACAAGTCATCCATGTAGTGGTAAATAATGTGATTTGGTAGTTGTGCTCTGGCTTTCCGTAATGCTAAATCTACATACCATTGGCAAATAGTGGGGGAGTTTTTCATCCCCTGGGGTAGAACGACCCAGTGGTACCTTTTGGCTGGCATTTGTAGGTTTATAGAAGGCACCGAAAAGGCAAACTTCTCACAATCCTCAGAGTGGAGATAGATGGTGAAAAAACAGTCTTGCAAGTCTATTACAATCATAGGCCAGTCTCTGGGAAGCATAGCAGGAGCTGACATTCCAGGCTGAAGGCTTCCCATGTCCTGCATTACTGCATTGACTGCTCTTAAGTCTTGCAACAATCGCCATTTTCCTGATTTTTTGGGTATTGTAAAAATAGGTGTATTCCATGGACTGGTACTTGGAACTAAATGTCCTGCTTTCAGTTGTTCTTCCACCAATTGCTCGATGTGCGCGACCTTTTCTTCACTTAACGGCCATTGATCCACCCAAACTGGTTTTTCAGTTAGCCAGGTTATCTTGAGTGTTGGTCGCCCATCAATGACCGTTGTCAAAAACTTGTCAAGGCAACTTTCCATTGTGTCAGGACATCTCTTCCTACCAACCAAATATTAGTGTTGAGCACATATGGCCGCACCTGTGCCATGCTTCCTTCTTCAACGTCTTTTATTGTCACATAGCCTGCACTGACTTGGGTAGGCTGCATTCCTCCGATACCATTGACTAATGTGTTAACATTCTGCAGGGGCCATGAAGAAGGCCAAGCACTTCTTGGCACAATGGTAATATCTGATCCTGTATCCAACATCATATTATGTTGTATAGTATTGTTGTCAGGACCTTTTATTTGGAACATCGTGGTAGGTTGGTGCGATGTAAGTACTTGCGTAAAGGCTACTTGCGGTGTTCCCGTGGACCCGAAAGCTCCATCTCCTCATTCCTTACTTATTGCTTTTGGTACACATGCTCTAAAAGGAACAAGTTGTGCAATCTTGGCTCCAGCATAAATGGTGACAGGTGGTTGTATTACTTGGACCATGATTGATATAATTCCTGTGTAGTCTGCATCTATTACTCCAGGAATGACTAAAAGTCCTTGTTTTGAGGAGGATGATCGTCCAAGTAGCAAAACACTTAGTCCTCGCCCTAATGGTCCTGTAACTGTGGATGGGATCAGATGTATCTTATTGTCCATTATTGTTGTGGTGGTGGCAGTAGCCAAGTCGACTCCGGTGCTGCCCAGGGTGCTTGCTCGCAATTCATCGAGGCATCCGGAATTGCTGGGAATACTGCCGGGGTCTTTTTTGTCATCGCGCCCCTCCGGTTGGCGCTGTTGTTGAAGTTTCCCGAGAGTGGTGTACCACTCCTGTGAACTCGGGAACGACACTCTTGTGCTTTATGACCAAATTTATTACATCGATTGCATTTTCCTGGGAAAAATCCTGAATTAGGTGATGTTGTATGTGCCTTCTGTGGACAGTTTTTCTTTAAATGTCCTGCTTTTCCACATTTAAAACATGCGTTGTATCCACCCTTATTCGAGGGCTTCCCTTGCTGTATAAGAGGTTTAATAGCAACGGACATGGCTGTAGCATAGGCTTGTGCTTGTACTTGTGCCTGTCGTTGTTCTTCAGCCAAACGTGGCACACGGGCACAGGCTTCTATCATTTGTACAAGAGAAGCATTCTTAGGTAAGGAGGCTAGTATTTGCTGGCAACTTTTATTAGCATTGAGCAGGGCTAAGTCGAGTCCGACAGATTTTCTGGCATCAGGAGTTAGATGTGGAGCTCTTTCAATAGCCTTTTGCAGACGATCAATAAACTCCATATAAGGTTCGTCTTCTCTCTGCTTTACCTCTGTATATGGAGGTACAAGTTGTCCCACCTGAGGCAGCTCTTTTATAACCTCTAAGGCCAGCTGCTGAGCCTGCTGCAGTATTTGAGGTTGCAAAGCTACTTGGACTTGTGGTGTTGAAAATGGTCCTGTACCTAAAAGCTGCTCGACTGTAGCAACCAATAAGGGGTCACCGACTCCCCTTTCAAGATTTTTAACCTGTTGTTCCTCTATCTTCTCACGCCATCTGTCTTTGAACAGCAACTGTAGGGTAGGCGGAAAGAACATTTCCACCATGAGTCTGATATCAGATTGAGTTAACACTTGCTGCTTAAATACCTGCTCCAGCATATTTTGAACATAAGGATTATGCACACCGTAATCCATCACAGCCCGATGTGTATCTTTCATCATTTTCCAATCAAGAGGTGCCCAAGTTCTTCTGCCTTGCTGATTAGTAGTCACTGGCATGGACATGATAGATTTTGGGAGAAACACCCCTTCAATTTGTGCATTTTCAATTACCCCTTTCCACCTTTGCCCAAGTGAAAAATCTGGGTCTGATGGAGGTGGCGGCGGTGGTGCAGGTGAGGCACTAGGCTGAGGTCTCTCCTTCTGAATTGCTATTGGCGTGCTGTAACTACCCGGTGGATCTGTTAGCCGGCGCATTCCCTGATACCCGTCTACCTTGAGGTCAGAGGGTGCACAATACTTTCTTAACAATTCTTGATCGTCTGGCCATTTACTTAACACTTGCCGATATGCCTGCTCCTTTGTCAATGTTCCGTCCTCAATACACATATCCATCCAACGTACTGCCCACTTCTTTCTCCCTTCCTTATCTTGTTCTGACAGACTCCGGGCTGCGTCCACAGAGCTGGCAATTTCTTGTCTTGCATTACCATCTAGCGGTGGCTTGCTTACAGTATCAACTAGGGCATCTAATGCTGAGGCAATGGTTTTAGACGCGCGATCATACGCCTTTCGTACTGCCACTTTACTACTTTGCCCTCCGTCTAAGTTTTTCATAGCATCTAGCACTTCTTGTAACTTCTCATTATGACGTCTTATCTCATCTTTCAAATCGTTATCACGAGGGTCTGGATATAACTGCGATCGAACTTCCTGGCTTCCTCCCAAATCATTATCTATCTCCATACTTTCATCTGCTGGTAAAGGTATATCTGCTACACAGGGTGTACTATCCAGCGGCGCAGAGGGGACGACAGAGGAACCCCCCCCCCCCAAAGTCCTGTTCTCCATCCTCCACAGGCATAGAAACAAGTCCCGATTTCCCTTCTTCTACAGTTGTCTCTATTTTTAATATCTTTCGCACTGCATCAGCCACCAGAGCCTCTCCATGAGCCCTTGAAATTATATCAAGACAAGCCCTCCAAGTCGTAGCTAACTTGGAGGCAGTTTTATCTCCTACAGAGACAGACTCCCACAACTCCTGACCGAAAGCCTTCCATATATCTTGATCAAAGGCATTCTGTGGGTCTTTAAAGAATTTCTTACGTTTTCCTAGTGATAACAACTCCTCCACTTCCTTCGCTTTCACCTCAACTTCGACCTTTTTTGCTAAATATAGCATACATTTGAGCGTCGCTCGCTCAACTGCTGATTCCGCATTCCCCATGTTGTCTGCTGAATATTTTGCAAGCTTGCACTCACCGCCTCTCTCCAGGCGCAGCCTCTCTCGGGTTCCTGACGCTGCATTCCGCAGTTCCGCCAGCCAGCAGACACCTCGCCTTTTTGACACGGCAGCAATCTTTCGGTACGAATATGTGCCGTCAATTCCCTGGCCTCCCGTATAGTCGAACTTCGTTCTTCTCATGAAATTCCTCACACGGGGCACCAGATGTTGTCACGTGCAAGACCCAGTGGAAACTTCACACACACCAATATGATGTTCGGAAGCTCCATCTTTATTGGAAATTACACTTTTATACAATTCAATAACTACTACATATTTGACTACTTAACCTATTATTGGTCACACATACAAAACATACACTGTTCACACGATTATTATTGGCTAGCTAACATATCTTATTTTCTAAATTCTTTTCCTTCTAAATCTAACCACAACACTTCTATTCCCATGCCTCCTGGCAGGGTCCAACTCATCCTCCCATTGCAGGTGCTGTTTTTCTTCCTTCTTCCAGATGTCCAGTTCTCAAAACACTTGTCATGTTCTCAAAACACTTAGTCCTTGAAGTTCCTCAGATTCCCATCAACTGGTCCACTCCTGCCTCAACCCAAAAGGTTCCTAATTCTCCTACAGCCAGGCCCCCTCCTGCCCCGACCCTGGGCCGGGGGCAGGTGTAGCACTGAAGCCCCCCTTCTCTCTTGTAAGAGAGTAAAGAAAAAAAAACTTTAGAGGACTGACTACTTGGATGAAAACCGCTGCAGAAGAATTCCGACAGAGAGATAACGAAGTGTCCAAAGTCGAAGCTGGCATCCGGAAGAGAGAGAAAAGTTTGAAGGGGGGGCTGTTTCTCCCTCCTTTCGCTCTCTCCCTTCAGCTGGGAAAAGACTGAAAAATAAATCCCTTCTACCTTTGGAAGATTGTTGGGGTGAGGAGACCCCCATGCGGCTCACAAAGGAGCTTGTGGATGTACAAGGAAGCTGAGACTTCATGAGAAGGACTGAAATGAGGCAGAGTCCTGTTGAAGATTTATGACCCTGAGAGGGACGAGACTTACGCCGGAGCAAGAACGGCTCGGGTAAACTTGGGATCTCAGTGAGAGATCCATGCTGCTGGTGCTGGAAATTTGTGACCATGAGAGAAACGAGACCTATGCCAGAGTGAGTACGGCCCGGGTGAGATGTGGGGATCCGTGTATGGGATCCATGCTGCTGCTGAAGATTTATGACCCTGAGAAAGAAGCTTACGCTGGAGTGAGAACAGCTTGGGTAAGCTTGGGATCCAAGTGAGGGATCCGTGCTAGACCCATGTCAGAGAGGTCTATCAAAGACTTTTCTCCCATGGGGAGGAACCTCACAGGAAACAGGGGTGGACTCATAAGCCATTATCCCCTGTGACCCTGTGGTGAAGATCCATGGTAAGCAAGTGTCCCCTTGCAAGCCCATGGAAGACCCTTCAGGGCCTGAGTAACCCCCCAGCCTCCGGTCTTAGCCCAGGAGAGGGGTAGGCCCAGCCCTGGAGGCCGACATAGAAAAGAGAGAGAAAGAGAAAGAGTTCCAGCTGCGACGAAAAGGAGTTGTCGTCCTGAGATAACAGAAGAACTTTACAGTGCTGCAGAGTTATTGAAAAGACCTGGAACTCCGAGAATGGAGAAAGAGACTGCTTCTCCTCCTTGGACTGATATAAAGGGGGGAGAAGTATTTCTGTAAATACATAGTACTTTTACTTGAGTAGAATTATTGTAGATGTAGTTCTTTAGTTTTTATTTTGCTAGTAATAAATGTTCATATTATTTTCCCTAATCAAGTCTCTTTTGTCTGCATAAACCTTCTCTCAACTTATAGTAATTGTGTGTGGGGTGTGAGAGCAAATTGACCCAGAGCAAAACCACGACACTGACATAGCTCTGAATAGAATAGAATTCCTTGAAACATTCCCATAAAGAGACATAAGAAGTAGAAATGTGCAGCACTGATTTCCCCCTCCTTTTCCATTCTTTGTTTCCTTTATTGAAAACTTCTCTTTCTACCACACAACTTAATCTTTCTGCTGGTGGTGTATTTAGAAACACATTCTGGCTTATGTGGTATGTTGTTGTTTTGGGGTCTTTCTTGTTTTGTTGTTTTTGAGAGAGTGGTTAGGAGGTTGGAGGAGGGAGTAGTGCTTGCAGTGACTCTGAAATTCAGGAAAGTAGACAGCCATATCTTGCCTGTTTTGCCATCAGACTTGCATAATCAGGTGCAAATGCACTATATTATAGTGAAATCACATGAACTGTTTGTCCAGTAATTGGAAGTGTTCAAGGTCAGGTTGGATGGGGCTCTGAACAACCTGATCTAGCGAAAGATGTTTCTTCCCATGGCAGGGGATGATCTTTGAAGGTCCCTTTCAATCCAAATGACTCTTACTCTGTTTTCTCTTGTCATTATTTATAAGTGTAAATCATATTTCTTAGATTTGAGTGAGCTGTTGGACTTCTATTAATGTTGGTCCCATACTGGCATTGCATGTAAATGAACATTAACTTTTAGGTAGAACTTAAGATTTGGGAGGGACATTTGAGAAAGAGGCAGAGAGTAAAACTTGAAAGGTCATTTTATTACATAGTTTTAATAAGCTTCAGGAAGGGATCTTCTGAAGTGTAAATGGTGTAAATGAAATGAGATGCACCTTGCCAAGAAACAGTACCTGCTGCAGATAATGTTGCTGTATTGGGTTTGCATGGCAAAATTTTGGTAGTGGAGGGGCTACAACAGTGGCTTCTGTGAGAAGATACCAGAAGCTTCTCGGATGTCCAATAGAGCTGGTGCCAGCCACCTCCAAGATGAACCCACTGCTAGCCAAAGCTGAGTCAATCAGCAATGGTGGTAGTGCCTCTGTGACAACATATTTAAGAAGGGGAAAAAACTGCTGTGCAATAGCAGCTGGAAGAGAGGAGTGAGAATATGTCAGAGAAACAACTCTGCAGACACCAAGGTCAGTGAAGAAGGAGGAGGAGGTACTCCAGGTGCTGGACCAGATTCCCCTGCAGCCTGTGGTGAAGACCACGTTGAGGTAGGCTGTCCCCCTGCAGCCCATGGAGGTCCATGGTGGAGCATATAGGTGTGGCCAAAGGAGACTGTGACTGTGGAGTGCCTGTGCTGGAGCAGGTTCCTGGCAGGACTTGTGACCCTGTGGAAAGGACCCATGCTGGAGCAATTCATGGAGGACTGTCTCCTGTGGGTGGGACCCCAGGCTGGAGCAGGGGAAGAGTGTGCAGAGAAAGGAGCAGCAAAGACAGTATATGATGCACTGACTGCAAATCCCATTCCCCGTTCCCTTGTACTCTTTAGTGGGAGGAGGTAGAGAAGATAAGAGTGAATTTGAGCCCAGAAAGAAGAGAGAGGTGGGGGGAAGTTATTTTAAGACTTGGTTTTATTTGTCATTATCCTACTCTGATGTTTGATTGGCAATAAATTTACTTAATTTCCCCAGGTCAAGTCTGTTTTGCCCGTGACAGTACTTGCTGAGTCATCTCCCTTATCTCAACCCATGGGCCATTCATCATATTTTCTCCCCTCTGTCCAGTTAAGGAGAGGATATGATAGAGCAGCTTGGTGGGCGCCTGTTGTCCAGCCGAGGTTAACCCACCACAGTCACATTAAGACAAAGAACTAGTTATTTCAAGTGCTTCAGTTGGGGGACACACAAACCCACTCAAAAAACCATCCCCCAAAACCCCCAAACTAAACTGTGTTGATTAAACGTGGTATTTTTTTTTTAATAACTTCAAGAGTAGATCCCATTTAAAAGTAGTGTCTGTCTTTGAATAGCTGTCCCTGGAAAAAGACTGAGTATAATATAGTTTTTGTTTAATCTCTGCAGATCTTTATTTTTAGGCATGACAACATAATTTACTACCAACAGAAAAGCTGTGAAGACTTTATTGCTATATTAGCATTTATTTTTTTAAAGAAAAAGTAGGCAGACTTACATGGTTACAATCTTAGGCATTCAGCATATCTTGCATAAGTCACTACTTGGCTAGGTTGCTATTGGCTCACCCTTTCTTCATTTCGATTTAAAGACACAGAGTTACAAGAAATCATGGTGCATACTTGGTGAGTGGTGGTCTTTCTGTGGGCAGGGGGCATCCGAGCTAGGGGTGTGGTTTTTACTGTTATAATATTATAATGAGCAAAGTTCATCACTAGGGCAAGTTCTCACCACAGAACTGATCAAAATGGGGGGGTTGGCTCTGCTTACAACAGCCTGAATAAAAGAAGGTGTTATCTATTTGTTTTTCCCCATCAAAGACTTAGATTTCTGTCTTAATTTACAATTTGCTATATTCCTGTAGTTATTGGTTATTACTTCCATTGTTTAACCACTTTGTTCTTTATCTTGAAATTTGGAACTTTGCTCCTGTTATTCACCAGTACCCACATATTCTCATCAAGGGACCCTTGTCATGTGCCAAGAAGAGATCAGTCCTTTGAGCTGGATTGAGATGCTTCTGCATTTGGGCTCAGCCCACCAGGATGATGGTTATGCAGTGTTACTGGGGCAAACTTTGGGCTTTGTGTGATCCTGTAAGGCACAGTCATTGTTCATTGAAACGACTAGCCAGAACAAAATGTGAACTTTAGAAGAACATGTGCATGGGGACAGTAAGGAAAAGAGCATAAGGGATTCATTAAAAAGACTGTGCAAACCAGAACAACTGGCCAATGGGCCCATGAATCACAAACTAGGTTTTGAAGCAAGTATCACAGAGGGTGGGTGATGGTGTTGGGAGAGCTACCTTTGCCCATGGTTGGGAGGATCTTGCAGCTACCTGTGAGACAGTTATGGGGCGCAGGCTGGTGCTATATGTCTTTCCTTGTCCCAAGATTGATGCTATCCTTAGAACATACAAAACGGCTCCAACTGACTGGAGAGGGAGAAGTCAAATTGTAGTATTATCTATCTGTGTTTTTTGTCTGGGCCTATAGCAGCTGAAGAAACAACAAAGGGCATAGAAGAGATGGCAATGTTTGGAGAGCAGGGGAGAAAAAATTCCTGGAGAACACTTGAATAGCAACCAACTAAACCTGCCAGGGGAGGTTTAGGTTAGATATTAGGAAGAAATTCTTTACAGAGAGGGTAATCAGGCATTGGAATGGGCTGCCCAGGGAAGTGGTGGATTCTCTGTCCCTGAAGGTTTTGAGACTGGATGTGGCACTTAGTGCCATAGTCTAGTAACCGCAGTGGTAGTGGATCAAGGGTTGGACCTGATGATCTCAGAGGTCCTTTCCAACCTGGCTGATTCTATGATTCTAGGAACTCTCCTCATACCTTGTTAACAAAGTTTCTTTGTACTTGAGTTAAATTGATTGTTCAGGGTTTCCTTTCATATGTGTGTGTGCAGCATGTCAGTACACATCTGCAAAGCCACTTCTGTTAAAAGAGATTTACTGTCTTCTGGGGAGATGTACTGTCTCTCCACCTATAAGGTGGGGAGACCTCATCGCAGTCTACAACTTCCTCGTGAGGGGGAGCAGAGGAGCAGGCACTGATCTCTTCTGTCTGGTGACCAGTGACAGGACCTGAGGGAATGGCATGAAGCTGTGTCAGGGGAGGTTTAGGTTGGATATTAGGAAAAGGTTCTTCACCCAGAGGTTGGTTGGGCACTGGAACAGGTTCCCCCAGAGAAGTGGTCACAGCACCAAGCCTGACGGAGTTGAAGAAGTGTTTGGACAACGCTCTCAGGCCCGTGGTGTGACTCTTGGGGTGTCCTGTGCAGGGCCAGGAGTTGGACTTTAATGATCTTTGTGGGTCCCTTCCAACTCAGGATATTCTATGATTCTATGAAGCTTTGGGGGTACAAATCCCCTTTTTGAAGCTGCTAAAAGGCAAATGGCTGATCTGAACAGAAAACAAGTGGCAACCTGGCTTGCAAGCCAGGACACTTGCAGCTTCTACTAGGAAGCAAGAAAGCACTTAAAAAGAAGAAAGATGATTGTGGCAGAGGTGGATGCACAATGGCAAGCAGACTTGGTAGCTATACAATAGTTTTTCAAAAACAATGATGGTGTTAAGTACATATTAGTGGTGATAGATATTTAATCCAAGTGTGCCTGGGCCATTGGCCACATGCAAACTCTTCCCTGTCAGCTAGCAGTCTTTCATATGACTGTCAATCATCTGAACAAGCTACATGCATTCTCTCACACAGCAGTCATTCTCAAAGTCAGGCTGCAGTGGTTTTGCAGCCCATGGATGTCCATGGTGGAACAGATAACCACCCTGCAGCACATGGGTTACCCCTTGCCAGAGCAGGTGGATGTGCCCTAAAGGAATTTGCAGCCCATGGAGAGCACATGATGGAACAGGCCCCTGGAGAGGAGCCCACACTGGAGCAGGTTTGCTGGCAGGAGCTGTGGCCCAGTGAAGGACCCACGTTGGAGAATGTGAAGAACTGTATCCCGTGGGTGGTACACCCCACTGGAGCAGGGGAAGAACACGAGGAGGAAGTAACAGCAGAGGCAATGCATTATGAACTGATCGCAACCTCTATTCCCCATTGCTCTATGCCCTTTGGGAGGGAGGAGGTAGATAATTTGGGAGTGAAGTTGAACCTGAGAAGAGGAAAGGGGTGGGGGGAAGGAGTTTTTAGATTTGTTCTTATTTCTCATTATCCTACTCTGATTTGGTTGGCAATAAATTAATTTAATTTCCCCAAGTTATTTTGCCTGTGACAGTAATTCCTGAGTGATCTCCCCTGTTCTTATCATGACCCACAAGACTTTTCTTGTATTTTCTCCCCCTTTCTAGTTGAGGAGGTGGAGGGATAGAGCAGCGTGGTGGGCACCTGACAGTCAGCCAAGGTCAACCCACCCCAGGGAAACTTTGGAAAAAATATGCAGTTGAGTACAGCAGCAGTTACTATGGATATGCTAATTAATGTAGATGGCCTCAAAGAAAAGGGGTTATAAAGGATCAAATAGACTAAAAGGATTAAAAAATAGAGTGGAAAGGTACCTAATTTTTTTGTACAGTGCTACTCAAGAATATGTTTTTGGCATATTTAAGAATATCAAGTATATTTATAGTATTTGTTATTAAAAAGGGGACCAAAATAATTTTAAAAGGCCAGATATCTGATGGTTTTGTTATGAGACACTCTGTAGAGTGCAAGACAGAATAGAGAAGTACTGATTATGGTTTCTGGGTGATGTTTAATTTCTGAGATTCTCTCTCAGCTCCTTTAATGGTTAAGGACTCTATTTGTGACCAATCTCTGTTTTGTTTTTAGGAGAATAGCACATTGCTTAAAATGGACATAAATGGAAAGTCCAGAACTACCCTATCTACCCTCCCTGTACCTTTTGCAGAGATCAGTTCTGCAGGCAAAACAGAAGCAGAGAAGCCACGATGTTCCAGCACCCCCTGCTCACCAATGCGACAGACAATTTCAGGCTATCGGATCCTTCGTATGGATTCTAACTACCTGATTGGATTCACGACTGGAGAGGAGCTGCTAAAATTAGCTCAAAAGTATACAGGAAATGAAGATAATAAAGGGAAATCTGGGCCCAACTTGCACTCTAAACAGCTCGATTTAGGACTTGCATGCTCCTCCCGTTTATACAAAACTAGAAGTAGATGCTATCAACCATACGAGATCCCAGCAATAAAGGGGAGGAGGAGGAGACGGATGCCCAGCTCGGGGGATAAATGCACTAAGGCTTTACCATATGAACCTTACAAGGCACTTCATGGTCCCCTGCCTCTTTGCCTTTTAAAAGGCAAAAAGGCTCATTCTAAATCCCTGGACTACCTCAATTTAGACAAAATGAGCATTGAGGAACCTGCTGACACAGACATGCTACAATACCAGCTTCAACACCTTACCCTTAGAGGGGACCGACCGTATGTTTGCAAGAAACAATACATGAACTATGAAGTATAATCTAGAATTTAGAACCAGTTTGTTTATTTCTCTGCTGCAAAAATATACTGTCATACTGTACATGACTGTCCACATTGTAGGTGATATAACCTAAATGTTATCAGAAAGTAATTAATTTGAATAGGATTTTGACAATACATTGTGTTATAAATGGAGGGAAAAATCTTTCCAGAGCAAGCAGCTTCTAATACAAATTTGGCTGTAGCTAGTGGATATTTCTTTGAACATCTTTTAACAAAGAAAAGGCTTTTGTTTTTTGGGTTTGGGTTTGTTTTTTGTGGTTTTTTTTTTTTTTTACAGTTATCTAGTATTAATGGTAATTTAATACTGAAAAATTGAAGGTCTACTTGGTTGTTGCTAATTTTGGCTTGATGTTAGAAATTGCTCTTGCATAAGTACTCAAGCTATCTTTTTGTTTCTTAATGTATTCTACAATAAAATGTATGTATGACATCATGGGAATGAATGTGAGCTTGGCTAAATTGGATCACCTGTTATTTTAAAACATTCTATTCAAACATTTGGAAACTGGGTCTGCATTGGTGGTGACAAGGAAATTAACTCATAAAATAAACCTTTGTTTATTTGCTACTTCAAAGCTATTACATTATTTTTTGTTTCTGTATGGAAGTAATTGTTTTACCTCCTCTTTTTTATAAAATGAGTTTGGGATAAGTATTTGGAATATTAGTAGATTGAATACACTGGCTTAATTTGTTGCATAAGAATTTTTTTGTCCAAATATGACATCCAATGCAGTGTTGACAGATGTATTCTTAGATATCTTTAAAACATGTTAGTAACTTATGTTTAAAAATTAAACATTTCTAGACATTTTTAGGTACAGTCTATTACTGAGGCAGCGTGCAACTTCATTTTACTTTACATATTTTGAAGTTAAAATTAAGATCATGTTTTGAAATGTATCTTATTTGATCAGTTGTTTCTAGTACAATTTAGGAGACTTGTTTCTTCAGGATGAGTAGCAAGCACTAGTCAGTGCATGCATTGTGGAAAATGAAGAGTTCTTTTCATTCTGCCACTTACTGTACAATTGTAACTGAAGGCAGTGAAGAGGACCCCAGTAGACTATTTTACTGGTTTGCTTAATGTTTTCTGGCTTGTTAGAATATTTACAACTGATGTGTATTTTAAAAAGTTATCTGCACCTCTGTAAATTTCATGTATTGAACAATGATCTCTTTAATAAACTTTTCCTGTGTAGTCTTTAGTTTGAAAAACAGAATATGGTCGTGCCAAAAAGATGGAGGTTTTGTCTAAGAAATAAACACCATTATTTATTGAAATGCCCTATGAAAATGTATTTCTGGCTGAAAAATAAAAAGAGTGATATCAATACCTATTTTTGTGGAGTCTCTTGCTGTGTAGAAGAATGAGGACATTTAAAATTACAACTTTATACCAGGGATCACTAAAACTTGAAAACAGGAATCTTATACTTCTGTGAAATATTGAGACAGTTACGGTTGTTCTGTTTCAGAAAATCAGACAAGTAATTGTCCATTTTGTGCATGTTATTAATTTGGTCCTGGGAAGTAAGTGTATAGCTACATCAGAGACTGGTGGCTGTCTTGCCAAGTTAAAACATGAAAAATTTGTTAGTATTTTGTCTGTCTAGTAGCTTGCTTGTGAAAGGGATTGCACCTGATAATATTGCTTAACTGATTTGTACTTGCAGTTACACTTGCATAGTATATAATCATTCAAGAGCCAATTTTTCTTTATTTTGAGATGGATTTATGATATTCTTAATTAGAACTCAAATTCATATAGTGATTTCCTGGTTTTACTTCTAAAAGAAGCAAATTCTCAGACATAAAGAAGCTTTTAATCTTGTTTTATTTTTGATAATTGTAATGTCTTACACTAATTATTAAAATTAAAGGCAGGATGGTTCTGTAAACTAGTAAAATGAAATTGAATGTGAACAATACTAATTTCTCAAAGTGTAACACACAGATAATATAGAAATACCAACAATTATGTTTTGCTATTGTTTCTACCTGACAAAACTTCCTACCAAAAATTCTGTCAGCTGTCTGCCAGAAGCTCTCACCAGAGCTTCCTGCTGGAGTTTTCCTGCCAAAAGATCATAGAATCATAGAATCATAGAATTAACTGGGTTGGAAGAGACCTTCAAGATCATCAAGTCCAATCCTTGATCCTGCCATTGTTTATGGTTATCATATCTCCTCAGACATCTGAACTGGCTACGTGCCAAGAAACCATGTACTTTGAACACTATAAAACTTGAGGACAAATTTTGGAAAATCAGGGAAGAGGAAAGGGAGAAAGAACTGGTTGCCCCAGGAGTCTCTCCTCACCTCCCCTCATCTCTTCTCCACCACCGTATGCTGCCTACCTGCCACGGGAGACTGGAACTCTGCCAGCCTGGAGAGAACTGAGACCTGCCATACCACATGTGTGAGTTATATCTTATCCTTCTACCCTTACCATATTTTCTGAGGGCCCAAAGCTGCGGCTGAACTGAGACCCTGTATGGCCTGGGATGCGCCTCGGCTCGTTGCAAGTAACGTGAGCAAAGAAACCACACATCCTGCAATCCAGAGAAATAAAGCTGTTAGACCCCCTGCAGCTAAAGAGATAAAATTGAAAAGCAGTGGAGACAGAGAAAAAAAAAGGCAGAAAACTACTTCTCCCCCCCCATTTGCACTAGCATGGCAGAAAGGTAGTTTTTGGTGGAATCCTTTCTCTGCTTCTAGAAATAATCTTAGCACTTTCCAACCTTTTCTTATTTTTCCCTCTTTCTCTTTGCATCTCTTAGCAATTAATAAAATCAGTTTTTGGTATCAACAGATAACTTGTGTGAGTTTTAATTTTGTTGAAAGGAATATTCGAATCAGAAATTCTTTCTGCAATATTTGAGCAGATTGTAACAAAAAGCAAGGTCCTTACTAAATATCAGGCTCCAGACCTTATTGGGGCCTTATACATACCTTATACGTACTTTTATTTTCTTATACTTAGTTTAAAAATAAAAACTGTTAAATTTAGTTCTTGCGTGACATTTGCCAACTTCCGATCGTCTGGGACCTCCCCAGTGAGCCAGGACTGTTGGTAAATGATGGAGAGCGGCTTGGCAAGCTCTTCTGCCAGCTCCCTCATCACCCTAGAATGTATCCCATCTGGTCCCATGGACTTGTGTGGATCTAGGTGGCCCAGTAAGTCACTGACTATTTCCTCCTGGAATACAGGGGGGCTATTTGGCTTCCTGTCCCTGTCTACCAGCTCCAGAGACCAGTTGTCCTGAGGGCCACCTGTCCTACTGGTGAATACTGAGGCAAAGTAGGTGTTAAGTACCTCAGCCTTCTCCTCATCCCTGTTAACTATGTTCCCCCACAAGTCCAACAAGGAATGGAGGTTTTCCTTGACCCTCCTTTTGTTATTAATGTATTTATAGAAGCGCTTTTTGTTATCCTTAACAGAAGTAGCCAAATTGACTTCAAATTGTGCTTTTGTCTCTCTAATTTTCTTTCTACATGACCTATTTATACTCCTAAACTCATCCTGAGTAGCCAGCCCTATTTTCCATAGTCTGTAAGCTCTCTTTTTATCCCTGATTTCCTTCAGAATCTCCCTGTTCAACCAAGCTGGTCGTCTACCTCGTCAGCTTGCCTTTTGGCACACTGGTACAGCCTGTTCCTGTGCACTCAAGACTTCCTTCTTGAAGCACGTCCATCCCTTCTGTACCCCCTTGTTTTCAAGGGTTTTTTCCCAGGATATGCTCTGGACCAGTCTTCTGAACAGACCAAAATCTGCCCTCCTGAAGTCCAGTGTAGAGGTTTTATTGATGGCCTTCCTTGTATCCCTGAGTATTGCAAACTCTATTATTTCATGGTCACTGTGCCCCTGGTGGCCTCCTACCACCACATCTCCCACCAACCCCTCTCTGTTTGTAAACAACAGGTCTAGTGGGGCCCCACCCCTGGTAGGTTCATTTACCAGCTGGAGCAGGAAATTATCCTCTATACACTCCAGGAATCTCCTAGACTGCCTCTTCTCTGCCATGTTAAACTCCCAACAGATATCTGGCAGGTTGAAGTTGCCCACAAGAACAAGGGCTGGTGATTTTGAGACATCTACCAGCTGCTTGTAGAATAATTCATCCCCTTCCCCATCCTGGTTGGGTGGTCGATAACAGACTCCCATTAGGATGTCAACCTTGTTGACCTTCCCCATTTCCTTCACCCATTTTCTCTTCAGGTCTGCTACAACAGCTTTTGAAGTTTAAATTCCCTCTAGATGCTAGAGATACCTTACTCTGTGGTATGTCTGCAAATTTGCATCATTATGGTCTATCTCACGTATGAAGCTAGGACCAAGATCTCTCAGGAATGTGTCCAGAAGCCCACCCCAGGGGTAGATAGCTTTGAGTGGTATGGGTTGTGGAAGGACATGGGTTCTTGGAGATCTTTTCTTCTCTAATGACCTAGAAGTTCACCCTTGAACAACTTCAGGACCCTGTTAAAAGTGATGAGATCTGTGAGGGAAAGGTGCCATGGTAGATCTATGGAGGAGTAGCTTGTGGTTGCATGCAGGACTTTGGCCACTGCCTACCAAAAGCTGCTCAGTATGGTGCAACTTGTCCAGGAGGAAAGGAAAGAACAAAATACCTGTTACCACAGCCACTCAGGGTGTAGATAAGCCAGAAGGGTAACCCCAACCAATAGAAGTTGCCCCTATCCAAAGGAAAAAATATAGGACCAAATCACTTTAACTGGTGGATGACAATGGGGACATGGGACCCTCACAAACAGTAGACCCAGAGCCAGAAATAATCACTGAATCTCTTTCATTTGATAATCTCCACAATTTGCAGAAAGACATGGCTCGATGACCAAGTGAGGTCAATTTGACCTGGTTGATCTGAGCCTGGGATCTTACAGGAGAAAGCGTGCAACTTGATGATACTAAAGCAAGGGATCCCTGTCCGAAGATGTGTGTATTGATCAGGGGTTCATGAGAGAATCTCTGGATTCGGCTTTTAACAAGTGTAAGAGAGGTTTGCTTTACAGAGATGACCTGCAGGGGCATCATTGCTCCTGAAAGACCATGGAGGAAGGGATCCTATGTCTGAGAGAACTGACATTTTTAGAGGTACTTTTTGCAAGGGACAGGCAATTCAGTAGACACCCTGATAAGGTCAAGTGTACATCACAGATGTGGTGGAAACTTGCACACTCAGGGCCACCTGTATACTCTAATTTCCTGGTGACAATGCACTGGAAGGAAAACCAAGAGACAGTGGGCATTATGATGAATAAACTCGGACCATATCATGAGAAGTTTTTAAAAAGAGATTGGACATGGCCCTTAGTGCCATGATATAGTAATTAGAGTTGGATCAGGGGTTGGACTTGATGATCTTGGAGGTCTTTTCCAACCCAATCTATTCTATGATTCTATGATTCTATTGTCCACACCCTCTTAGGGACCTGAATCTCTTCTGTAGAGAAATTGGTTGAGGACCTCTGGACTCTAACTGAGGAAGTAAAAAGTGACCACAAAAAACTCAGAGAGGAGTTTAGAAAGAGCACTGTCCATGTCTCACCAGTGTAAACTAGAGCCCCTGATATTTGAAAACAGTATCCCCCGACTAGGGAGAGGGAGTGCACCACATGAGACAAACTGTGGTTCCCCATGGGCAAGTTCCTAGACAGGGTAGGAGGGACAATGACATATCTGACCCTCCAGAAGGGACCTCACAGATGTATGCACAGGAAGAAAGTCACAACTACAAAAACCAGCACTGGAGGTGCTCTGCCTCTAGTCAGGTAGAGACATGGGATAACTGTGTCTATTGGACTGTGTGGATCTGATGACCTGGCACATCAGACCCACAAGAACACAAGACTTGGGGTGACACTGGTGCACAATGCATGCTAATGCCATTAGGATATGTGGTGGCGGAGTCTATTTCCATTTCTGGGGTGACAGGGGGTTTTCAAGACCTGATGGTGTTGGAAGCTGAAGTGAACTTGACAGGGAAGGAGTGGCAGAAACACTCCTTTGTGACTGGTCCAGGGGCCCCATATATCCTGGGTATCGATTACCTAAAGAATGGGTATTTCTAAGACTGAAAAGGACATCAGTAGGCTTTGGGGATAACTGCTGTACAGACAGAGGAGATTAAACAGTTGAATGCATTTCCTGGCCTATCAGACAACCCTTCTGATGTGGGACTGCTAAGAGTTGAAGAACAGCAGGTGACTATCGCCACCACAACAGTGCACCATTGACAATACCACATGAACCAAGACTTTGTGATCCCCATCCATAAGATGATTAGCTAACTGGAGAACCAAGGAGTGGTCAGAAGACTCTCTCAATCTTCAACAACCCCATTTGGCCAGTGTGTAAGTCCACTGGAGAATGGAGATTGGCAGTGGACTATTGTGGCTTGAATGAAGTTACCCCATCGCTGAGTGCCACTGTGCCAGACATGCTGGAACTTCAATATGAACTGGAGTCTAAGGCAGAGAAGTGGTATGCCCCCATTGACATAGCAAATGCATTTTTCTTCATTCCTTTGGCAGTAGAGTGCCGGCCACAGTTTGCTTTCACCCAACCCCTGCCCTCCCGTCTGAGTTGAAAGACTGTCCCCAGCTTCTTGGGACCTGATGGAAAGGTAGGTCCCTGAAGTGAAGCATCCTGGGAACTAATTTGAATAGAAAGAGGCAAACTTATCTCCATGGTGGAGAAGACTTAAAACTATAAAAAGGCAACCCCAATGTAACCTGTCATGCACAGGCACCCACTGGACATTGGACACCCCATCTGGATTGACACTGGAGCCAGGACTGGTGATCTCTTTAGCATTCTTTCTTTCTTTCTTTCTTCCTTTCTTTCTTTCTTTCTTTCTTTCTTTCTTTCTTAGTTTAACAAGATTACAACTTAGAAATTAAGAAACTTCAGGTGAAAGTGTGGAAAAGGAAAAGAAACAGCTTTTTATTAACAAAATATGAATAAACAACAAATGGTGCAATCAAAAACTTTCAGAAGAAACAAAACAAAGTCCCAGTTCCCCAGGTGGGGGGAAGAAACCCTTAGCAACCCAGGGAGGGGATGGGGGAAAGGCAGGACTGTCCTGGCAGTTCAAAAGCTGCTTGCAGTCGTGTGCTCACAGCCAGCAATGAAAAAGTCCTTTTTCCCACAGGCAGTCTTGAAAGCAGAATACCTTGCTCTGAGATGGGTCAGTCTCTCTCTCTCAGTCGTTCTTCGTGAGGTGTCCCATGTGGGAAAACCCCTTCCTCTCAGGAAAAAGAAAAAGAGGCAGCCAAAACTGGGCTCCTATTCTGTCTGGTCTGCGGACAAAAAAAATCCCAAATGCCCCACCGACTCACAGCCATCCCTGCGGCAACCTCTGTTTCCTGAGAGTGGTCCCCCTCCCCCTACTCCTGTGCTGCCCAGTGCATACAGTTTTGCTTCAACCCCACCGTCCCAGAAGAAACAGATGGCGGGGGGGGGCATTTGGGAAAAAATTCCAATGCTTTGCCTTTTTGACAACAAGCACCTACAAATCTTTGGTGCTCCCTTCCCCTTAAGGATGGGATGCCACAGCACTGCATGGAGTTGTTGTGACCCAAGTGCAGGACCCAGCACCTTACTGAACCTCATACAATTGGTCTTCACTTGTCCAGATCCCTCTGAAGAGCCTTCCTACCCTCAAGCAGATCAACATCCCCACTAAACTTGGTGTGGTATAAAAATTTACTGAGTACACTTGATCCTCTTGACAAGATCATTGGTAGTGATATTACATAGAACTGGCCCCAATCCTGAGCCCTTGAGAACCCCACTTGCAACCAACTGCCAGGGGGATTTAACTCCATTCCCCACCAGTTATATATATATATATATATATATATATATAGCATGCTATAGTAATAGGAGCTATCAACTAGCAAGCTCGTGTGTGGGACACAGAGTTTACCAGCTGCAGTGCTTATTGCTTTATTTTACTGAGTTTGGGAACTCATTAATATAAACAATGGCTCTGTGCTCTGCCCTTACACTGATGGCCTTGTTATGCTGGGGATGATGGACCAATACACCTTCCCCTCCCTTCCTAAAACTGATGTGAATGATTTTATAATGAAGTCTTTCATAGTCTTTTCTCATCTTTATGTAAGTTGTTTAATACTGTTACTAATACTGTTGGCACACTATGGAGTTCATGGAATCTGGTGTTATTCGGGTGTAAGAGAAAACAATCTTTAGGTGAGAATATATTGAAATGTGCCCTGAGGCATCCAGTTCCTGGGTAGCAGGGTGTGTGGAAGCATTTGGGTGGGTTCCTAGGGCAGTTGACACCTCCCATTACCTGGAACTTCACACCTGAACAGGTATTCAACCCTGGCAAACTGACACGTCACCTGATAGAAGGGTGCCTTGCCTACCCTGATCAAAACCAGCAGTTTCGCACCCTGTACTGGGGCCTGACCTGTGCCTATCGAACCACAGTTCAGTACTCTCAGAGGACTGTAGTGGAGGCAGGGACCCAAACTGCAATGGAGGACGATGTGGCTGAGATAGGGACTCAAACCACAACTACAGTCATTGCCCCAGTAGTGAAAAGGAAAAAAACGGATAAGGCAAGCTACAGGCCCTATCGCGGGTGGGGTCTGTCCCCGCGATAGACCCTCGCGCACATCTTGTATAGGAAATGAGTCCCCAGATAGGTGACTCACAAAATGGCCCTTTATTAAAACAAGGTTTCAGTTTATATAGAGAGGTACATAGAAGGGTCTCGAACAAGGGTGGGATTCTTGCCAGGGGCACGAATCCTAAGGGTCAGAGATAAGGGAAAATGGAGGGATTGGCTGCAGGGATATGTCCAGCCATATAGGGAGATTTGGGAGTTAGGGAAGGAGGGGAAGGAATTGTGAGGGGCACAGATAGGGGAATTCTGCAGGGGTCTGTGGAAGCGGCGTCTTATCGCTGGATCTCAGGCTCTTCCTGCAGTCGCAGCTGTCAAAGCACCTCTAGATAGATTTCTTCCTCCGAGGTTTCTTCGTAGCCTTTCTGTATCTGTCTCCATTCTTTGTAGGCCTCTGCTAGTCCACTCCCGACAGGCCCATATCAACGATTACTAAGGGAGGAAGAAGAAGAAGAAGGAGAAGGAGAAGAAAGAGAAGAAGGGGCAGATCAAGAAGCTGGTGCTTCAACAAAGAAATTGAAAGGAGTGAGACAAATCAAACAGAAAACTGAAGTCAGCCAGTCCATGACCTCATCAGAACTTTGAGACTTGGGAAAAGATTACAGCCACTAACCAGGTGAGTGGATTCCTACCTGGCTACTTCAATGTTGGGCTAATGTGGCTGGTAGTCAGCAATTGGAAGGTCATGAAGCCCAACAACTGGGATCCCTTACTAGAGATGGGAAAATTGAAAGAGAAATTGGAAAAGAAGGAACAATTTGCAGTCTCTGGAGACAGCTCCTCTCAACCATGAGGGCAAGATATCAATTTAAGGGAGATCTTGTGAACTCCCCAGGAAAGGAGACCACTACAGACGAAGGTATCCAGTACTTGAGAGAATTAGCAGTACTGGAAATTGTTTATAGTAATCTAGGAAGTGATAATGTCCCTAAAGATCCAGAGGATGTCCCTTGCACACAGGCCATGTGGAGGAAGGTGTTTCAAAGCACCCCTGCATCATATTCCAGTAACCTGGTAGCATTATATTACCTGCAAATGGATACACCAACTATAGAGATGGCGTCCACAGAGGTATAGAGCTGTCCCAGTTTAAATGAGACAAGGGTCTTTTGCTGAGGATGGATTAGGAGGAAAAGACCCGAACTTCTCTTTCCAAGCAATTATAAATCCAAAATTAAGAGGCTTCGATTGAAGGAAAACAAATTATGGAGAAGGGAAAATAACAGCCCTTTATTAAAGGTATGTGTGAATTAACAGGAACACAAAAAAACCCAAGTAAAATAACTAAGTAATACTCCTATACCCACCAATAATCCCCTTCAAGAACAAAACCGATAAACCGGCAAAAGGAAAATAGTTCAATTTCTTGCACCCTTTGGTGCGGTTCCAACCACAGTCAGCAGGGGGCACTGTCGGGTCACTGGAGATGCAAAATTTGTAATGTCCTGTACCATTCACCAGGTGGCGCTGTTGGGTCACTGAAGGTGTAAAAACTTGTAGTGTCCTATTGCAGTCACCAGGTGGCGCTGTTGGATCACTGGGGGAGTAGAACTTGTGATGTCTAGTGCCCGTCACCAGACGGCGTTGTGAGATCCTTGGCTGCCGCCAGGTGGGGGGGGGGGGAGGGAAAGAAGGGGAAGGAAAACAACAGCAATAAAACAGAAAGTTCTCCCAATGGAAGAAAACTCACAGCTGATTAGAGTCCGTTGTAAGCAGGGCCTGCAGCCAGCCACAGCTGAGCCAAGAGCAGCAGCCAGAACTCCCCTCCGACAGGAAAGAGACAGTGTCTGCAGCGTGCAGCAGGCTCTCCTCCCGGAAGCGCGAGAGACTCCCCTCTCCCCCCAGCCTCCACCCCCTTCCAGTCACACACCAGCCAACTCCCCCCCTTCGTTGTCAAGGAAACAAATCTCGACCATTAGTGGACTGGGGCTTATTCTTTTGTTCAACTAATGGCCCATATACAGAGCGCACACACACACACACACACACACACACACACACACACGGCAGGGGGAAAGGAAAGAAAAATTCCTTGCTAAAAATCCAAACTATGACAAGAGCTTTAGTGGATACTGGTGCAGAGTGCACACTGATGCCATCAAGACACTGTTGGGGTCTTAGCAATTCTGCATGATTATTCTGACTTTTTTCTCCACGCAGACCCTCGGTAAAATTGTCTGACTGCTCTCATTTGTTTCTGCACGGTAACTACTTAGAACTGACGGAACTTTTAAGAGCAACGGTTTGTTAAGCCTTTTGTTAACAGTGGAAGCAACTGGAAGGGGCAGATGGACAGAAACTGAGACCTGAATACACCCCAGACTGCGGAGATAGCAACATCCAGAGAGCACAGAGACAACATCGGCGGAGGAGAGCCAGCACAGAGCAGGACGCCTAGGCAGAACGATGCCGGGAGCAGAGCGGGGGCGCGGCTCCTGTTGATGCGGCCGCGCCGGGCTGCGGAGCCGGGGTACTGCGAGCTCCGAGCCAGAGCGGGTATGCTGCTGCCTGCGCTGAGGAGAGTCCCGGAGGACCCAGACCTGCAGGGCTTAGCACATGTGGTGTTAAGACAAAGCTGCTGAAACTGCAGCTGATTCAAAAACCAAAAAAACCAAAAAAACCAAAAAAAAAAACCCAAAACCAAACCAAACCAAACCAAAAAAAAAAAAAGAAAAGAGAAATTAAAAAAAAAAAAAAAAAGGGAAAAAAGGGAGTTTTGAAGAGAACTTTCATGTGCATGGTGGTGTTTTTCACTGAGTTTGTCACAGTTGACAGAGAAGTGGAACTTACTAGGGAATAGTTAAAGGTTTAAGAGGTCTATAATTGATCATGGTTACTTGGTTAAAGTGATTGCAGATTATACCTTCTTTTCTTTTCCCCCTTTCTGGCATCAGGTTAAGATACATTTCAGGTGGGAATTTAAAATGCACACACATGATTCTTTGTCCTTTTTCAGTTCACCTGACGTTATTTCTGTTATACTGCATAGCTTTTGGTATTCTAAAGCAAGGCTAACTCACTCAGAAATCAAATTATTTTCAAAAGGCATTTTACACACTAAGCATATTTTCAAAACAAAAGAGGGGAGGAGAATATGCATGTACACAAACAGGTCCTGGATCAGAAATGGATCTCAATTAAGTTTGTTAGGCCTTTTTGTTCCTTGTATTGATTCCTCTTCAGGACAGGTGGAGTTGCTGAACATGACCACCAGAGATGGCAGACTGAGAAGCACTGAGAAGCCAACAATACTTAGGAATCTGAGATGTGTGGTTGAAATGAAAAATATAATAAAAATCCCAGCTATGTGTGAATGAAGGATGATTGAGGTGGCCACCTTCTGAATGACTGGAAAAAAGCTGTATGAGTGAAAAAGATATCTGTGTGTGTGAACTTAAATACTTAATGAATATTAAGATTTTAAGAGAATGTGTTATATAGATTTAATTATGGTAAGTTGATGCTGCTAGCCTTCGGAGATTAGAAGCAGATATTGAAGATATTGCAAGTTAATACTGGTTAAAATTGACTAAATGGTCTGTTGGTAAATATCAGGATGGCTTTTACCTATAATCAAGACAAGTTTGCTTGTGTTGTTTTAACCTCTCTGATCATAGTAGGCCAAGCCAGGAACAAAGGTGGATAGCGGAACAGAGGTGGAGTACACAACATGAATATGACCGAATCATGGCTCAAAATGACACCAAGATCCTTGATTGGTTCTGTGATGAAAACTTGTGTATCCCTAGGGGGTGGATGGTCCATCCCCAAAAACAT